TGATTTCTGCCCCTTATGGTTCCAGTCCTGTAGGTGTTTAAACATTTTTTTTTAAATCTCTCATCCAGTGGCTGCGGTCGGAGTGACATCGGCCCACCGCTCCCATAGAGCAGGGTACATGTCTGCATAAACACAGCTGCGACTGTACGTGAAAAACCGACAAACTCAGGAAGTGGTGTCTGTGATTAGCTGGGCTCTCATCATGCGCCCGGAGCCAGGAGTCATGGCCAATTAAGACCAAAGCCAGAAATAGTTCTCCCCTCTCCGGGCGTCTGGTCGCAGAGCGGCTGTCCTGCTGCAGTGACCCCGTCCGGCGGAGCAGGTCCATGTCTGGGAATTAAGCGCTTGGATTAAGAGTCCTTTCGCCTGGAGACACACAGAGAAGAGACGACCATCTGAAGAGGGGAGTTCCAGCAGCGGGAGGGAAGGAATCCCATCCGAAAGGAGGGGGAGAAGGAGCTCAACGACTAATTGGCACAAATAGGATGCAATTACTGCCTGGGCTGGGACTGGGAGGAGCAGGGTTTATAAGGCCACCAGTGGGTGGTGTGTGTGGAGGGGGGGGGGGGGGGGGGGGGGGTCTGCACGCTGAAGGAAGTGGGAGGAGATGGGTCAGCTTCTCTATTCCTGTGATGGATTGGACCTCCGATCATTGCTCATAATAAAGGCTGCTCTCTGCAACGCGCTGACAGTGGAGGTTATATGGGGGGGGCTGTCTGACCTTTCACCCAGATCCTCTCCCACTGCAGGCTGAGTGTTTAGGTGGAAAAACTGCTCAGCCTGTTGGCTCTGGGTCATAAACTGGTTTTAATGGTCTGCTGGGTGCTGCTCTGACCAGAAGCTGCGGCTCTCGCTGCCTTGGGTTAAAGATGCAGACATGCAGAGATGTTAGATCGGATTCAACGTCACTAAATGTAATGAAACTAAAAAAAACAACCCTTCCTGCATCTACTGTTACCGAATAGCTGTGATCAGATAGAGGTAAACATGCTGACGCATAGATTGAGGTAATCTAATCCCATTTCCTGTTGGATGCTAAACTGCTGCCTCTGTCCTCGAAGCTGCTGCTCGTTTTCTCTCGTGTTTCAGTGAAACGGCCGGTTTATCGCTAATAGGCGACTGGTTGATTGTTTCACTGCAGAAAGAATTAAAAAAAAACACGTCGGCCTGAAAACGGAAAGCATGGACTAATATTGTACTTCTTTTTCTCCTGTTCCTCCCTCACTCTTTTACTTCTCATTCCTCCTTTCTTTCTTTTAGCATTTCTTCCATTTCCCTCATCCTGTCCATCCTCGTCTTTTTGCTCTTCTAACATCCCTCCTCTCCTCCCGACATCCCTCCTTTCTTCCCAACATCCTACCTTTCCTCCCGACATCCCCCCTTTCCTCCTAACACTCTTCCTTTCCTCCCGACATCTCTCCTTTCCTCCCGACATCCCTCCTTTCCTCCTACCATCCCTCCTTTCCTCCTACCATCCCTCCTTTCCTCCCGACATCCCTCCTTTCCTCCTACCATCCCTCCTTTCCTC